ACACTGCATTCACTTTACTCACACTACTAAAACACACACTCTGCATTCATTAAATGCACACTACATCCACTATACACAAACACACTACATGCACTACACACACTTACTTACTTATACTTATGATGGTAGTGATATAGTTAATGTGATACACAGATTACTAAAAAGTAGAAGCAACCACACACGTCTTAATATTGATGCACATGGTGCCTAGGGAGATATCAGTTATGCCTCACTGATGATGCCTAACAAGGCTGAAACGATCGTCTGGGGTTGCTGTATCTCTCGTGCAGAGAGAACTTGCTGGCATTTCGGATCTGGACTGCCCGTATGGGTGGGACCAGTATGATATGCATCAGATATGTTCTCTCTGTAATGGCACAAGATGAGCAAAAATCAGCTTGAGAACTGAGCGGAGATCGACCGAAGGGCAGGCTATTTCAGCTGCTGCCCATTTTCAGTATTCTCTTGCGACCCATTTTTGACTCTCTGGTTTAATTAAAACATTAAAATCAATATGTTGATTCATGTTTTCATGAACAATGTAAAATCAAACACTTGGTGTGACTTAAAGTGACCCCCGTTTTTTGTTTTTGTGTGTGTGTGTGTGTGTGTTATTATAATGCATTACATGTATAAAATATATATTCAATGTCGGCTTATAAAAAATAAATATAAATACCATTAAATAAATCTCATATGAAAGGCCTTTCTTCTGAACAAAATCCTTAGAACGTGATCCACTTCCTCTGATCGTCTGCTACAATCAGGAAGTGTAGTCTCCTATGGATTTCAAAGGGAAAGCAGTTCTGAAGTGAGAGTCCAGTGCAGGAGAAGAGTGGTTTCTTGGGGAAAACATTAAATGGATGGGATGTCCCAGCCACATTCAGATTTTCACAGACGTGGTTGGGCTGGTTAAAAACCCAGAGATTTGCTTGTTTGTCGAGTAGCAATATTGATTTTGTCTATGCACCTTGCTCTGTTGGTTATGCCCTGTGTTTTAGATCAAATTTAATGACAAGCTTGCTCACCTGATTTCTTGACTCTGGTATTCCAATAAATGGGACACCAAAGGACAAGAAAGAGAGGGCTGGAAGATGGTGTTGTGTATGCTTTTTGGGGTGTTGCATATATGGGGTTAGGCTGCTTGTGGTGTTGTGTTTGTGTGTAAGCTGTATATAGTAGTGTGTGTTTGTAGGGATGATGTTCATGATGTTGCATGTCTGTGATGACATGTGTGGAGACACAAACTGCTTTTGGTACTGCATATTTGTGGTTGGTTGGAGGCTGCTTGTAGTGTTTCATGTGGGCATACATAAATGGAGAGATGCTCTATAGGTTGCATGGGTGGAGGCTGCTTGTGGTATGGCATATTTATGCGAATGATGTTTGTGGTATTGCATGTTTATAGGGACACAGCTTCTTGGATTGAGTTGTGGGGTAGGCTGTTAGTGAGATGTTGTGTGTGTGGCTGGGGCTGTTTGTGTTGTAATGCGTGTGGTGCAGGCTATGTATGAGTAGGGGATGTAGTCTGTGTGTGCATAGGAGTTGTAGTGCTTGTGTAGTGGAAAAGAAAGCCATTAGTGTATGGAGGGGTAGAGGCTGTAGTGTAGGTAGGGATGAGGGGTATTGTGTTGCGATGATAGGGTCTGTTGTGTAGAGAGAATAGAGGTTGGAGTGAGTTGTGGTTGGAGTGAGATAGACACTATTGTGTGGGGGTGGGGGGTAGAGGCTGTAGTGTATGGTGTGAGTTGTGAGGAGTATGTTAAAAAAATATAAAAAAATAATCAAAGTGTTTTAGTGCGGGTGATAAGAGCAGTATTGTGGGGGATATAGATGCTTTAGTCAGGGTGAGCAGGGGCAGCATTGTGGAAGGATTGGAGCTTTAGTGTGGTGTGGTGTGGTAGGGAAAGTATTAGATGGTGGGGCCTTTACTTTTGCTGGATAGGGTCTGTAGTGTAGAGGCAGTGTTGTGTGGATTATGCACAGCATTGTGGGAAGATAAGGTATTTACTGTGGGGGATAGGGTCTTTGCTTTGGTGGAATAAGAAAGTCCCTCTTTGATACTTGATACTTTGGTGGGATGATTAGTTTGTCTGTAAGGAAACAGAGCAGTGCCTTGGTAAGTCATGGCAACACTCTGGTCAACTACAGGGAGCAAAGTGGATTGTGTGTGCCTGAATGCTCCCTAGGCAGATCATCAGATTGTCTGATGTCAGCATAAGAGATAGTATGTTTCTGATGCTGCAGGATGTGACACCACGACCGGTGTCTAGTGGCAGCTGCCCCCCTCAATATGACTCTGACTGCAGTAAGAGGAATGTCACAAAGTCAGGCTGAGAGAGAGCTTTAAATGGCAGGTAGGGGTTGGGAGTTACATGTCACCATTGGAAATCCATTGCTATCCATAGCTATCAATGCTAACAATGGACATATTTTATGCACAAACTTAATATAATTTAACTCTCATTGGGTAATGACGCTGCCAGAGGTGGACTTATACTTTACAACTTTATTGAATATCTCTGTACGTGCAATGTTTCATACTGAAATGCTGAACATACAGACTCCTTGCTCTATGACCATGTCAACACCTATAAGGATAGAAAGCATTTGGACTATCTTTCTTTGCTATGCAAAGAAAAACAACCAACCAAAACCTAGGTAAACACCTGTCAGAGAGCATGGTGGCAAAAGGAGAGTGTGTTTCAATTAAGCAACAGAGGTCAAAGGAAAATAAATAGGAAGAAGAATGAAGGTGAAAGGTGCTTATACAATATTTCCATTTTTGGTTAGGGTCTATTGTGTAGATCTGGTCTGAATATGTTATTTTTCTGGAGTTGCTTAACTGAATATCATTACATATATTATTGGGTATACAACAACAGTGACTGCAGCATTAAAGTATGTACTATTTTTCGAAATAGACAATACCAGCATCGAGCAAATGGAAAAGCCTCCAGCACTCCTTATGTAGGATACACTCGTTTAGTTGAGGGATAAACAAAAAAAAAATTATGTTATATTTCTAACAAACTAAGCAATGGCTTGTAGGAGTTGATCATCCTAACCTAAAACTATTGAAATAAGAAAACTAATAAGAAAACATAACTGTAACCTAACCTTCATAATACACCTACCATATTGTGTTGCAGAGATCAGGGACGTATTAGCCGCGAGGCAAACAAGGCATTTGGTCGATCGGGCAGCATTGGCGAGGGAGCACTTTCCACTGAGCACCCTGCTCAGCTCCCTCGCGCGCCGCAGAGTGATTCCTGAAGCTGGAATATGCCTAGTGCAGCACAAAACCAGGATACACCACTGGCAGAGATAATCTCCTATCAGAACGCCCTTCACTCATCTACCTCATGCTCCCACGCTGCATCTCTCTCTCACTTCACGAGGATGCCATGTCGAAGCATGACCCCCCAGAAAGCACAGTCGGCTCAATCACCCACGCTGACCACTCACGTTCATGGGAACGGTGCCTTTGTTCGTGCAAACACCACTTAGCAGACACAGAAGGCATAACTCTGTGCATACAAATGCCACCTCTGTTTGTGCAAATGCCACTCACCAATACTGCAGGCAGAACTTCATTCAGACAGATGCCGGCTCCCGAAAACAGCAAGAAGAGAAGTCTGTTCGTGAGAACGCTGCTGCTTCCACATGCGACCCCACAGTAGGTAGAACTTCAGAAACATCAAAGGGTGCAAGCGCACCGACACAGAGCTATTTAAAGGTGCAGGTAAGGAGGTGGAGGCCAGGGTGGAAACTCAATAGTAAAGACCACCCACTTTTCCTATTTAAGTCGCACACACCCTTCACTCTTCGCTCAGTTGTACTTTGCTCCTGATCGTATAAAGACCTTCAGTGACTGTCCTGCTGTATCCTGATCTTTGACCCTTGCCTGAACCATCACCTTTAAACCTGTGGCACCTGTCCTGACCTCTGGCTTCCCCAACTACTCTCTTCATCTGATCCCCTTTGTATTGCAAACTTGGTCCATTGCTTTCAGCACTACTCTGCATCTTGGGCTCTATCCAATAAAGTAATGTGTGAGATCAGAGTACCTGAGGTGTTATGTCAGTGTATCTATTTTTCTAATTATAAATAGATTTTTCTAACACCCATCTTTTTGATGCTACCTGTCTTTTGAAATCTATCTTCATAGTCTCATGCAAATGTGATATGCCACTGCACATTAAGGATGTGTCAAGCTGGCACCAGTACGGTGCCATGTGACGGGCTCAGTGATAACTTTCTTAATGAGGGAAAGCAGCCATCAAAAATATCATACAGAGAATAGATTCTTGGACGTCACTATCCATATTTTCATATACGCTTTAATTGGCACTGATCTGATTCTGGATTCACTATACAGGTTGTTATCAAAGTTTAATGGCTGTGTGATATTAACCTCCTTATAACTCAACAATTGAAAAAAATACATAACTTTCCCTTTTTTACCACATCGATAATCAAACAAAAAAAAGCTGGAACACCAGATGATATTAAAAGTATGGCTCTTTATTGCAAGACGTTTGGACTTTTAAATTACCTTTATAATATCCATCCTGGCCTTTCTTATATTTAGTTTCACCTAAATTACCTCTCATGGTTAAACGATTGTACACCATTTCAAACAACTGTAATAAGATGGTTTGGTGTATAGATCATCCCCCTCCAGTCTCAATCACTGTGGTCCTAGCTACACCATCCCTGGTTAGAACTCACACAGCCTCCCTACACACTTTCTGAAAAAATATCGAGATTTTTTTAAACTTTGCTTATTGAACACTGTTTCATGCTTGGGAGAGGCACTGCCAGCAGCTTTCTATAGGGGGCTGAATTCTACTCCATTTCTTAAAATAATCCTGTAAAATCAGGGCTCAACACCAGATGGAGTAATACAGAAAGGCACTCTGTTTCCTTGTGTTTCCATGTTCAGAGCCACTCATGGCGGAAACCAATCAAAGACATTGTGAGAGGTAACATTCCTCATGTTCTGCAACCACAAGTCTGTGAAAATACAGATCAAGGCTCAGCCAAATACAGCCTGAGTCTTGATCTGCATTTTCACAGACTTATGGTTGCAGAACACGAGGAATGTTACCTCTCATGATAAGCAAAACAAGAAACTACCCACATAAACAAAAAAAAAAAGGTCAGTGGCAATAATAAAGGATTGGTGGGACTGATTTAAGTACAGAGATGGGAAGTATGGGAAGTGATATGAGAAAGGGCAAGGAAAGGTATGAATGGGAATGATATTAGAGGAAATAATGGCTAGGAATGTTATGAGGTTGCTAGAAAGTGAGGGATTTTTGTTAGTGATAACTTGCAAAGAGAGGCAGAAATGTATGGGCCTGGCAGTAGGATGGAGATAGAGGGAGTGATAGGTGAGAGTAATAGGAGAATGAGGAGAGACGGAGGGAAGGATGGGTGAGAGTGATTGGATTCGGGGAGGGGATTGGTGGGAGAGAGAGGTGGAATGGGTAGCAGTTATGGGGAGAGACAAATATAGGGATGGGTGGGGGAACTAGAGACAGAGTGGAAAGATGAGTGAAAGTTAAAAGAGGATGTTAAAGAGAGGATGGCATGAGTGAGAGTTATTTTGATGAGAAAAAAATAGAGGCATTGGTGAGAGGAAGAGAGAGAGGTAGCTTCCCAGCAATAAAACACAAAGATTCGCAAAAAAAATAAGACAGTGCCATGTTCAGATAACATATTTTCATATTAAAGACATTACTGCCCATCATTGGTGGTATAAATGCAGAAGAGGCAGGAGATGTATTCTGTAGCTGCTCTCCATGCAGTATTTTTCTAGAGAGTGTGGCTGGATTTAGCAGCGGAAGGGATGTGATGACACATTCCCCCATTCACTACAAACTCTGAAGACTCTAGAAAAATAGGGAGAGCAGTGGCAGGCATGTGCTTAGCCTGTGAATAGAGGGGTAGGTGGAATATCAGTACTTGCAATTGTAGTATGTGGCTGCTGAAACTTCCCAAAAACCAGAGTCTCTTCTTTTCTGGTGGTACGATGGATGTAGATTACTGATTACTTTTTTTTTTTCTCCAATAAAGATAGCCCATTTATGCTATTGGAGCCTCTAAGCCTATCCTTTTATTCTATATTGTTTTATTTTTTTAAATAATATAATTCCTTCCACTCTCTCCAACACCCCCACTGCAGGACTCAAGGAGTGATATCCTTGGTGGGGATCATACCACCTACGCCTACATGTATTCAGCAATATCCTATTTGTTCTTCACTTGCGAGTATACCTCCATTTTTTATCATTTTATTTTATTTTTATTATTATTATTATTATATTTATATAGCGCCATCAAATTCCGCAGCGCTTTACAATGGGTGGACGAACAGACATGTAGTTGTAACCAGACAAGTTGGACACACAGGAACAGAGGGGTTGAGGGCCCTGCTCAATGAGCTTACATGCTAGAGGGAGTGGGGTAAAATGACACAAAAAGGTAAGGATGGTATTAGACTAGTGACAGTTGCAGAAGAGGAATCAGTCAGGAGTTATTAACAGTTCAATTGATATGCTTTTATGAAGAAGTGTTTTTTTTTAATGATTTTTTGAAGGAGTGGAGACTGGGTGAGCATCTAACGGAGGAGGGAAGTGAGTTCCATAGGAGAAATCGAGAAATCTTGAAAGCGAGCATCAGAGGTGGGTGTAAGGACAGAAGATAGATGTAAGTCTTCAGCAGATCGTAAGGGCCTAGACGGACATACTTGTGTATAAGGGAGGATAGATAGGTGATTTGAAAGCAAGAACCAGAATTTTAAATTGAGCTCTATATTTTATACGAAGCCAATGTAGGGACTGACAGAAGGGTGAGGCATTGGAAGATGCGGGCGGACAGGAAGATAAGCCTCGCCACCGCATTCATTATGGACTGTAACAGCGCAAGTTGGGAGCACGTAAAACCACTGAGAAGCGAATTACAGTAGTCAAGGCGAGAAAGGACAGTGGAATGGACCAACACCTTAGTCGCATCTGACATTAAGTAGGGGCAGATGCGCGCAATGTTTTTGAGATGGAAATTACAAGATTTGGCAATAGATTGAACATGAGGCTTGAAGGAGAGGTCGGAGTCAAAGAGAACACCTAGGCAGCAAGCCTGCGTGGTGGAGCTGATGGTAGCACCATTGACTTGGAGGGAGACAGACACAGGAGTAACAACACTTGAGGGAGGAAAGACCAGAATTTCAGTTTTGGTCAAGTTTAGTTTAAGGAAGTGGGCAGCCACCCAATTAGAAACAGCAGAGAGGCAGTCAGATACACTAGTCAAGAGGGACGGGGAGAGATCAGGAGAGGACAGGTAGATTTACGTGTCATCTGCATAGAAATGATATTGGAAGCCAAAGGAGCTAATGAGTTTACCAAGGGAGGCAGTATAGATGGAGAACAGTAGGGGACCAAGGACTGAACCTTGGGGGACACCAACAGAGAGGAGTTGGGGAGAAGGAGCAGAGCCAGAGAAAGAAACACTGAAAGAGTGCTGGGAGAGGTAGGAGGAACACCAGGAGAGAGCAATATCTTGTAGACCGATATTGCGGAGGATGAGAAGAAGCTGTTGATGATCAACAGTGTCAAAAGCCGCAGACAGGTCAAGGAGAATTAGGATAGAGTAGTGACCATGAGATTTTGCAGCGAGTAGATCATTGGATACTTTGGTCAGTGCCGTATCCACAGAGTGCTTAGCGCGGAAACCAGACTGAAGCGGGTCTAGCAGAGAGTTGGATTCGAGGAAGTCTGTCAATCTCGCATACACAATTCTTTAAAGGATCTTGGATGCAAAAGGCAGTAGCGACATAGGACGATAGTTGGATGGGGAGTTAGGGTCAAGATTGGGCATCTTTAGAATTGGGGTTACAGTTGCATGTTTGAAGGGCAATGGAAATATACCAGAGGAGAGAGAGAGATTGAGAATTTTATTGAGAGGTGGAGAAAGAGAAGAAGACAGAGTATGAATGAGATGCGAGGGAATTGGATCTAGGGTTCAGGTGGTTGGGCGGGAGAACTGGAGCAGAGCAGAAACCTCTTCCAGTGTAGCGGGTGCGAATGAACATAGAACAGCAAAGGGAGTGAAGTTAGGGGAAGTATTGTAAGGGGAAGAAGAAATATGAGAGATCTCTTCTCTGATTGTAGAGATCTTGTCAGTGAAGTGAGTTGCAAAGTCTTTTGCAATGTATTTTGTATTATCCAGAGAGCACTATTTTGTGTTTTTATCATTTTTGTAAATATCACCAACTATTTGAATACCGGCCTACTGCCATTGGAAAGGAGATATACCCCAAGACCCCCTTTTGAGGACATCCAAGGACCATCTACATATCCACAGGTGGGGATTGTACCGTCCAGGCGCACATATCTGGAGCTGAGTAAAGGCTCCAGAAAATTGTAAGTGCAATTCCTTTCCCTTCATTTACCATCACTTAAGATCTCAACATACTACACTATATCCGTGTCTTTTTCTTTCCCTCCTCCTCCTCCATATCGCTCTGAGCGGGGGAATTCCTTCATAGGCGCTGCTCCCTGATCCTACTATCTATGTGCTTAACCTGTCACTGCACTAGCACTTGTACCACCAACGGTAGGCAGTATGTATTGCAAGTGGTCCTCTAGACTGGGACTGCACCCTATAAATAAATACAGTAAATTATGCCAGTCAAATCAACACCATGCTTAAAAATGCATACATAATCTTGTGGCTGCCATTGGCTGGTAGGTTCCTCGAGGGGAGCCTTTAACCTTGTGCATTCCCTCTTATTCCACCAATGAAGTAACCTAAAGTTGTTTAGGTGTCCAGCGTGTCCCTTTCAAGCCACCAATCCTGGAGCTTTTGCATGTACTAAAAATGCACTTTTGTTAGATGCTCTGTTATATACTAAGAACAATTACAACAATTTATATACCCAGACATAATTCAATATAGAAGAATTGTACTTGTCTGCCCTTTTGCCTTTGAAAATCATACTTGCTAACCTCAATTTCTTTCTTAGCTGTAGTTGAGCAATTGCCAAAGCTTACACTTTAAACTGCAGTACTAAATAAGTGTTATCAGAAATGCAGCTAATTTTATAAATTTAAATCTGCTCTGTCACCTGAAAGAGGCAGTATGTAATCAAAAGACTAAATAATGTTGTCAATAAATTGTGCTAAAGTCATATTAATAGATAAAACCACTTTTTAAGATGCTCAAAACATAATTCAATGTAAGAAGTTCTCTGATTTACACAATGTGCTTAGTGCCCATAATATCTATTTTGAAATACAATTACTAAAATTAAATGAAAAATGCATCAGTCACAATGGGTGTAAAGAAACAATGGACTAAGAAAACAAAATAGAGTAGTATGTGAAAACAATGTATTTTTTATTAAATAATAATAATAATAGTAATAAAAACTCAGTATTAGTATTAACCCCTTCAGGACCAAACTGTTTTTGTGATGTTTGTACGTTAAGGACCAGAGCTATTTTTGTGGTGTTTGTGTTTAGCTGTAATTTTCCGCTCTCTCATTTACTGTTCCGATACAAATTATATATTGTTTTTTTCAGGATAAAAAGGGCTTTCATTACATACTAATTTTTTTATCATGTCATATAATTTAATTTAAAAAAAATAATAAAATATGGTGACAAATAAAAAAAAACAAGTTTTTTTGACTTCTACTTTAAAAATCTTTTACTGATCCACAAAATCGAATAAAACAAACTGCTAAATAGATTCAAAATTTTGTCCTGAGTTTAAAAACACCCAATGTTTACGTGTTTTTTTTTTTTTCGCTTTTATTTGCAAGTTACAGGGCTATAATTACAAGTGGGAAATTACTGTTTCAAAATGTACATTTTTCAAATGTATCAGTAGTGACATTGTAACACTGTTATGTCATAAATCTCCAAAAAACACCCCACATGTATATATTTCTTCTTAAACTAGATAACCCAAGGTATTCATCTAAGAATATTTTGATACTTTCTGTGCAGCCATTTTACCACAAACCTTTGCCAAACTTTGCATAGGTAGTTTATTTTTTTTATTTTTTTCACATACATTGCAATTCAGGTA